GGGTTCAGACCACCAACCTTTTGGTTAGTAGTTGAGCACTTAACCGTTTGTGCCACCCAAGGACTGGACATTAGCTTTGCTCAAATTTTATAAAACGCCATTTCATGAATAACATATTTTTTCATTCATATAAAGCAATTCTCATATAAAGCAAATTTCATCAAACTTATATGGCATCAAAATTTGGAAAAGACAGGAAAAGTGCATTTTAAAGTAAATGACTGCAAAATAAATCTGAGTTTTAAGATTTTAATATTTAAAATAAAATTGTGGATTACCACGCTTAATTGTGTCTTAACATTAATAAGCACTTTTTTTGAACGGTTCCTTAGGGGCATTCCTAATAAAGCAGCTGCACGTTCCGTTCCTCTGGTAGATATTCCTTGCCCTTGCTCTTTAATTGGAAGGACCATGACTGGCACTTCTTTCACATTACCCCAGGAGGCCTGGGATGAGGCCGCATAAATCCTAGGTGATCAATAAAGGTGCAGCTATTCTTATTTGGTGGGCACTGCCAAAAGGCCAGCGTTCTGACCTGTAAGTGCAGGGGATGGTTAAAACCTTTCAGAAGGTGAATCACAGAGCGTTTTGTTTTTTATCATGAGTTCCCCATATCCTTGCCAAGTCATTAGTATTCAGACATTGTGTTATCATCGTTGGGACGACCATCAGCTCAATAAACTCACACTAGATCTTTTGTCAGTAAAACCTCATTAATTTGGGCTGCTTTGAGATCTCCACATAATTTGGACAGGGACTTCTCCATTATTTATTTATTTATTTTCCTTCATAAAGCAAACAGTAGAAATAAAATTGAAAAGGTATGTCTAAAACATTTAAACAATTTTTTTTTCAAGTATACTCAGGTGTTTTAGAAATCCAGTTACATCATATGGTGTGCTAGTTTCAAATCATTCTTCTTTGCTTATTAAAGCAAATCCCTGCTTACCTTTTCTTGCAACACATTCATAGACTGATCTGAGCTGCAACGAATCGTCTAAAGTAATCCCACTGTGTCTCCTTAGAAATAGTCCGTAATGTACATACTGTGTTATTGATACACATTTTTCTCCAAATATCCCAAATTAGAGGGTTTCCTGAGCTTAACTGGTGCTTGACATAGTATATTGCTTCTAAAAATTTCAAATAACTATATTGGGAGCAGCTTAATCATCTTGTTAAATGGCTTTAAAAGAGGGAGGTATCCCATACTATTTATTATATAGTCTCTTCAAAACACTGAGATTCATTGTTGGGTGTGTGTAGCAATGAACTTTCCAGAGCCTTGGTAGAAAACAGAGTTAACCCTAATAGGAACCCAGATAAATGCTGCAGTTCAACTGAGGGACACCAAAGGCATGCCAGCATGCCAGGGCATCTGCAGTTTTGATTTATAACTCTCAAATTTGTGCTTCTCATTGTTGTTAGCCAGGAAAAGGTAGCTCTACTTGATCAATGGTCTGATATGAACACTCTTCTTAGGATAACTAGGAAATATGACACGGAGGAATTTACCCAAACAGAGACTTTGCATTTTGCTTATGCGGACCTGAAATGGCACAATGGCTACTTAAAGACAATTGCCCAGATAGTAATGAAGAGCTCTCCATTTCTGGAGTATATTGGCACTTCCTGGGAAATACAGATTTTTTAATATTGGTCAACTGGTCAGCATGCTGGATGCATATTCCAATATGGTAGTACATGGCAAAAGGTTTAGATCAACCCCGAAGAAAGAGGTAGAATGGGGGTAGATGAAGGGAGGGGGATGTATTCATCTCAAAAGTGGATCACTGTGGCTACATTTTTGGTTTTCTCTTTGTTCCCCACAAGTGTTGCCATCCTGTGCACCCCTTTAATTAGCATCAATGATGTCACTGGTCAGGCAGGTCTCTTTATGAAATTAGCTACTTCGCCCAGTATCTGATTTGGCAAATCAGCTCTTTAAATGTATTGCAAATATGAGGAATAGGAGAAGAGATCCTAAAAACAATTTGCAAATTGAAAATGAAGACATCCAATTTATAATCCCCGGATTTAGATGGCACTTCACTTTCTTTATGAGTCTAGCATCAGCAAAAAGAAGTATCCAATCACAAGTGGCTTTTAAAATGTAAAATATTAGGGTTTTAACAGGTTTACTGCATTTCCTGTTTAAGTGCACTTATTTATTTTTGTATAAACTAATTAAGTGGCATGTTTTTCTCTTGCTCATAACCTCTTGGCAACATCTACAGCTGTAAAAGCCACTTTTTTGAAAAAGGCGGAATGGATGCTACATTTAGCAGAAACTTCTCTCACGCTCTTTTATAAAAAGCCTTTGAATCAGTGTTCCTGATAAAGGGATCTAACAAGGAAGGGTTTTCAGATGAGAAAATCTAGCTGGCGCACGTGGAAGACTCACCGTGCTATAGGTCCGGATGGGATTGAGGTAGCTCTCATTTGGGGCGCTGCCAAGTTTGGACAGTGCGGCCGTAAGTCCCTCTGCATCCGGGGACTGGCCCCAGTGGTAGCGCTCCAGGTTGAACAAATGCGCCACAACGTGGATGGCTGCGGATGGGAAGATGGTATTGTTCATGCACCATATGGATTTCTTTCTTTGTGGTTACTCAAAATATCTCTATGGCCAAGCTTCTCTGTCCTGTTTTTTTTTGCAATATCTAAAGAAAAGCGATTTATTTGTGCATCTTTCCTAGTGTCTTGAGTGGAATGAAGTGAATTCTTCTGAAGATATTGCATGATTCATCACATTAATTTTAGTTATATTAAGAAATAAAATAAATCATAATTCACTATAATTTAATTATAAACATATGATCCTTAAGGGAATGGAAGAGTTATTATAACATCACATTACTACTGTATTCTTAAACAGATAATGAGCTCCTTCTATGTTTGTTTGCCAACAGCACATACCCCTGAGAGGTACCCTTGAGAGGTATTTTCCTAAGTGCATTATGCCAATTCTTTTTTTTAACATGTTGCTGTAAAAAAATTAGCATAGTGGGCTTAGTAGTTCAGGGTGGCGGGGGGGAGGAGAGGGAAGAGCACGGTTGGCAAACGTAGAACATATGCATTATTTGCGTAAAAATACAGTGTGTGTGTGTATATATATATATAGCTATATCTATATCCATATCCATACCAAAAACCTGTTGCTGTCAATTCCAACGCATAGTGACCCTATATCCATATCTGTAGGTTATATAGATATAGATATATTAATTTTTTTCCTAACAAGTTAGAAATCATTATTCTAGAATACTGTTTATAATACATGCTGATATATATGTAGAGACTTATATATACACATGTTGTTGTTGTAGGCCTTCGAGTGGATTCTGACTCATGGCTACCTCTTGTGACAGAGTAGACCTGCCCTATAGGGTTTTCTAGGCAGTAATCTTTACAGGAGCAGATTGTGAGATGTTTTTCCCATAGAGACACTGGGTGGGTTTAAACTGCCAACCTTTTAGTTTGGTTAGGTCACAACTTAGCCATTGTGCCATGAGGGCTCCTTTGTATACACATAGACACATACGTTTGCGCGTGTTATTCCTAATGGATTGAGAAAAGCCAGTATTTATGGAGCTAAATCTTTCTGTATATTCTTAAGAAGAAAACTGAGTGTTTTAAATCTGGGTATTGGCTATGTCTAAATTCTAAATGAAGGAACAAGCTCAGAGATGCAGCATCGTCTGGCCTGAGGATTTTGTGTCTGATGCTACTCTTTCCTGTCTTGTGAAATCCGTGGGGGAAACCAGCCATCACAATATCCCAACAACTACATACGATGCTTTTCCTACCAACAGAACCCAGCTTCAGTGGCCTGTTGATACCTGCCGCTGGGATCAGATTCAAGAATGGAAGTGAGAATTTATTACCATGGT